AAAAAAAAAAAAAAAAGAAACGAAAATAAATATTCGTTTAAATGCAACAATAAGTCTGTTACTATTTAAATATTAAATTTACATGTTATTATCTATTTCTAGTTCTACATTAGAATGTCAGTTATGACATGCAATGAGAACATATTTTATACAAAACGTTCAAAAAATTCCTATCTAATTCCGTTTTAAATTCAGCAATTATTTATTTTGTACCACACATTATGCAGTATGTCGTAATATTATCGTGACGATATTATGCGTTACAATATATTAACATTCTTCAAATTCTTTAATATCTAAAGCATAGCTCGTTTTCGAAAAGGATATGCAATTTTCGAAATCGATGATTGCACAGAATGATACAACGTTTTACAGTAGTTGCACACACTTATAGATATATTTACACAGTCGATTGTGGTGGTTCACCAACTGACGTGTTCACCACGTGCTTTGGCGCGTGGTTGCAACATTTTTTCTTACTAGTCAGCCCGACAGCAATATACCTATGTCTGTGTATAAATAATAGCTGGTTTCGTCTAGCTACATACATCGATATTTGCAAATATGCCAAGAATAGTGACCACGCGTGTTGCTTGATCGTTAGTCAGGTTTCGATCAAAATCGAATGATCTCATCGTATAGTCATCATTGTTTCTTCGATTTAGATTAAGGATTAATTTTAACCGAAATTTGAAAAAAGAAGAATTGTTTTTAATCAATTTTTTTTTTAGTTACATTAAATTGTCATGTATTATTTACAGATCGAACGCTGCAGGAATCTTACATGTAAACCTTTGGATAACTTTTTTTTTTTTCTTTTGTACAAAATAGTTTATTTTTCCAGCTCACTGAAGACTATATAATCCGTCAGCTCAGCGGGTGCACAAGCGATTTATTTACGGAGCGTTTATTGACCGGCTCTTTCGCCGGAGAGATACAGCTACACACGTATATATGTATCATACATATATGCTTTGAATTGAAAAGTCTGTTAACATATGCCACGTTTATATTTCTCTCTTTACATTCCACTTATTGTATGTGCATATAAAACTGTTCGAGTAAGAAACAATTGAATGATATATGTACTCGGACTCGGAATCTTCGAATCAACTTATTGTTCAATTAGTTCATTCAGTTATTGCTCGAAATTACTAGTTCTTAATCTAAAATTACTCGAGTAAAAAATAGTTAAACTACAGGTAATTCAATATGAAATGGAAGAGAATTATCAGATTGACGCATATGAAATTTCATGGGCGTCCAGAGTTTAGAGATTGAAGATGTTGGACAACATTCGTTAGATGTTGATTTAAAGCTTGAAACACAATTTAGCACAATTGATGTTTTGCCGATGTTTATTGTGAAAAGTTATATATTCTACTGAATCGAATCATGAATGATCGTCGAATTTCAATAAATTTTTGAGAAAACTTGGAACTTCGAGTTAACGAAGTGAAAGTTAATCGTAATATTAATACAAGTTCTCGAAAAGCTACATTAAAAGAACAGATAATCTGTCGTTCATTGAAAAGTTTTAGAAAACTCAAATATGAACAACGGACCATAAAGTTATCAATTATAATAATTATAAAATGCAAATTTATAATAATTACAACATTCAAAATATGCTTAAATCTGCCAAGTTAAAATTTGGTTAATATTAAGAAAACTTGCAGATATTAAAATTTACGTTACGATTTCGCTGTTGTATCTGTAGCAATCTAATTATTATTATTCAAAAGAATTTGAATACGTTGATATTTTCTAAATTAGCACGCGTCGTATATTTGAATAATGGCACTTTAATGTCAGGGTTAATAGCAGGTCATTTCTTCTCTGAAGATCGCTAAACAACATGCGTTGGCGCTAAAATTAACACTCTTTTATTGTTACTTCATTTATCTTATTTACGTCAAGTCAGATGATAAATTTGTCTAAATGATAGTTTTATGTTTCACGGCCTATCTAAATTCAACAAATAAATTTAACAAATTCATCTTTTGTTACCACGAAAGAAATAAATTATTTGTAATATCATTAACACTTTGGAGATTGATCAGTTAACGAAAATAAAATAAAAAGAAGAAGAAAAGAAAAGAAATCACGTAAAATTAATTCTTTAAAGCACAGGATTTTAAAACAACACGATATAAATAATCTGCATTAAATACCAAAAAGGTGAGCTTAAAAGAGTTAATCGTTGGGAGAGAAAGATCATAATAACTCAGAATTAAATTAGCTACTTCATTAAAATCAATTTTAAAAAAATTTCTAAAAAAATAAGATATTCTAAAAATGAGAAAAATCCTAAAACAAAATAGATTATTAATATACGATTAATGTTTATGGTAATACATGATAAATATATGATTTATGTTAGTAATCTAATCTGTCAGTAATCTTTCAATAATCTAACATAAATCATTATAGTTGTACCTATAAACCAACAGTTATGAGTCGAGAGTTAAATTTTGAATTTTCCATTGAGAGAAATCTATATTTAAATTTTCCATAAATGCATCAACATTCTGGAACTAGTTAGCTCTTGAATTATACTAACCTGGACAGTGAGAGTGATCGGTGCAGCACACTCAGTCTGGCCGTATCCCTCGACGACCAAACAACCAAGAGCGCATCTGGTGAAGGTGAGTACATTTCCCGCCAATGGGGCAGATCCGACAACCATCAGCCTCAGTCTTCCTCCCGTCGATTTCTTGATCTTTCCGAAAATTAGTTTGTCCCATATACTGTTATTTCTGATGATTCCTTTCTTGATCTCCGCCTCCTTCGCCCGCATACCTAGGTTGAATACCAGCCTTTTCAAGCACGAGCTCTGAAGTTCAGATTGGACCTACAAAATGCCGATTGATGACTGTTTCTGCTATATTTAACGTAGCGCTGATCGAGTGATCCAGCTTGGTCAGCTGTATTTTCGCAATGAACGAATTACAATATAATACTCCATTTGTCGGAATGAAAAATTTTAGTATCAGTGTCAAAAATCGGTGTGTTTCTAGAGGGTAATTGGTTTTACATGCCAAAACAATCATATGTAGAGATCGTCATGACACCTTTGAAATTCAAGACACTTCTTCGAAACATTGAAGATTGATCTTCTTACTGTTAAGAACTTTAGACTTGTTTACGAAGAAGTTCAATTCCTGGCTTGTACGGCTTGTTACGGTTTATTCGAAACCTATTTTCGAAACACTTATTTTTAAAACTTAGCCGTGTATGAGTGGATAATTTAGGAAATTCGAGGAAAAGCTGTTTACTGGCATCGATGAATTATGTGATCGAGGGATGATACTTTCAAAATTCTCGGTTGAGTAATTTGTCAGTTCTATGTGGTAAGAGATGTATGGTTTACAGAAGTTTTATATCGATTTTACACTTGGGTTGTATGAAATTTTTTTGTCTCTATTTTGATTAATATTATTTTAATTCAATATATCAAAAATTAATTAATGAAAGAAGAACTAAATAATTAATATGTTTTCTACATGTAAATGTCACTGTTTTTTCTTAGAATAAAAAATGAAAATATCCTATAAATATTAAATGGGTAAAGAAGTTAATAGGAAGAATATTAAATAATTACTGCATATATTTTCCAGATAATTATTATCGTCTATTATCGTCAGAATCAAAAAAGAAAAAATTCCCCAAATAAATACATAAAAAAATTAAGAAAATTATTAAATAATTAACACGTATGTTTTCCATACAAAATATTAACTTAATATTTTTTTTTTAGAATTAAATGAAAATATTCTAGTTAATAAAGTGGATTTTCAGATACTGCATTAATTTATGTCTTTAAATAAATCATACCACGATTATTTTTGCTTTAAAATTATCTCGTTAAATAATAGATAGGAATACATCGTTGTTCTTGATGTTTTATATCGATAAATTCACGTTGATATTATCGTTATTTTAAGTATTAAATTTGACAACAATTAGGTATAACTTTTTGGATATATTCAATATTTTATAATGTTACCGTTAAATTTAACAAATTTTTGTTGAATTTTGTTAATTTAATATTGAAAATTAATGTTACATTTCTTTTTAATTAATTTATATTATAAAGTTCTATTTTTATTATTTTTAATATTTTTTCATTATTATGTCTTCTATTTAAACTTCTATTTAAACTTTATAATTTTATAAAATTTGAAGAAATTGAAATAATTAGAATATTATTGTTCCCTCCTATGAGGATTTATATCTCAGAAATTTTTTATTAAATTTTATATTTATTTTTTCATTTTTATTTAATTTAATTAACATTAGAGCAACTTTAATACGCATCAAAATATTCTACGTATGAATCATTATAATTTAAATGATAGTATTTAAGATAAATAGATTTATATAATTATGTTTCTGCTTACACAGAAATCAATATTAATTTTGACAAAAAAGGTACCTGTACCTTTTAAGTAATTGTAAAAAAAGAAAAAAATCTAAAATCTATCGTATTAGCGCGTTATGATTGTCTAGTGCTAAAATTAAAAAAAAAAAAGCTTATGAAAGAAGAAGAAACAAGCGAAGCATGTACATTAATATCAGGAATTTAATTTATTATATAAACCGAAAATGCACGGAAGCCATTCACTGGGATTTCAGGATCATAGTGGGAAATGAAATTACTTCCACATATTTCGTCGTGCTCTGTCATTCTCGATCTACATTTGTTGGTGCTGTCTTAATGCGCTATATTGCGTAACATTGACCCTATTAAATCTAATATATGTATATGTATATATATATATATACGTATGTATACATTTCATATTCAGTGATGTACTATCATTGAAATATTTTCACTAAAAAGTGAAAACATTTTTTTCAGAAATATGTTTACAATAAAAATATGTTTACAAAAAATAAAACTATGATTTTGATATTTGACAATAAAAGTTTGATTATTCTTCGCTTACTCGAAATTTTTACATCACTTTACATTTTATAACAGCAATAAGACGAATATTATCTTATCGTTTTCACATAATTGTCGAGTTATTCGAAAGAAGCCTAATGGAGTTCGAAGTTTCGCAAATCGTCAAGGATTAAACATTTGAAAACGAAATGTATGAGTAAATAAGAGTCACTTAACGTATTTAATGAAAAATCAAACAAAACTGACTCGATAATATATATCATTTATCAACATATGTTTCTCATAAGTCTTTCACATTTGATCTCGAAAACTTATGGTCGCGGCGCTGAATCATCATAGCGCGTATATTCCATCCCTTATTCACAATTAAACAAAGATCATTTTCTATCAATGAATATGAAGTGAAATGTAATGTTATTTCATTATTATTTGTCATTGGTTTGTATTATCTAATTTATTATTCCCTCAAACTATAAATAGAAGCTCAATAAATATCTACGAAATGCTCAAATAGTTATAATTTTGATGTTTGAATATAACTAATGAATTTCTGCATCACACTGTAAAAAAAAATAACATTATGAATAAAATGTATTTGCTAGAAGAAATTATTTATTCCGAGAAACAAAAACATGGTAATTGTAATTTTGATTTTTAAATGTAACTAAATAATTAGAATTTCTGTAGTAAAGAGTATGCAAAAGTAATTATAAAAATTGGGGATAAAATATTTACTAGAAGAGGCTATAATTTTGTTTTTAAATTTTGCAATTACATAAAAATCTTCACAAAACAAATCTTTGTGAATAAAGCAACATAATTCGAAAAACAAATGTTACAGAGACAGTCTTATAAAAATTATTGCATAAAAATGTTGCTTAATTATAAAAACCTTGTTCATTGATATTCATCTTATAATATTCTATAAATATCTTTCACTATGAATTTTCCCTCATTATTATGAATAAATGCACATTGATAAGATGTAAAATATGTTACTTTGATTTGTGTTGTTTCTTTAATTAACAAAATAGTATCTATTCAAAACCAATCTTTCTTGTGTGAGAAACATATTTTTCTCGCAAGAGTGCGATATGAATATTCACACATCATAAAGATATTTTTAAACGTTCTTTCGTTCACTACTGCACGTACAATCAACATTTTACATTGAAACTTTTTTACAATGTTTTAAAAATTACTCGTAAAATGGAGATTAAAATTTTTTTCATTGCAATGAATGTATTGATCGTTCAATGATCTGAAAATAGATCCGCAAAGCAGAAGTTTATTGTTTCAACGATAAGCACAGATACATGTAATATTACATGTGCAGACATTGGCGCGAAACAGACTGGTCTGGATAATTTCGCTAATGCAACTGTCCATCAAACTCGAGCATGGGTGATGCGAAATTCATCAAAATTATTTTTAGCCACCGGCGTGAAATTCGTTAAGTGAAAATTCGTTAAGCGTTATACAAGATAGCCGATACCTTGCCTACCGATAAATTATCCGGCAATAAATTGTTTAGCGTGCATCCTTGCACTCTGACGCTTCGTTAAGCGTAAAAATATCACTTCACTCATACATTACCACTCGTTCGAGGCGAACCGGTCACGAGCGAATTCCGCGACTTCCGTGGAACGCGATTTTCTACGGGTTGTTCGACGCGCCCAGCCGTCCTTGCACCTCGATGAGCGCACTCGAAAATATCTTTTCGCCTTCCGATTCTCCGGTAATTTTGATCGCCAAGAATATCACTTGAACACTCGCCACTGCCACCCAAATGGTAAACAGAAAATTTTCTAAACACGTCAACACCGAGCAGTTTTGTTGGATTATTAAATTATAGAGGGTGTTTCATTTAAGTGGAAACAACGGAATACCTCACGGGTGATTATGAAGTTGTCAAAAAAATGTTTCGACAAAAAGGAGGATATACGATGCAAATTGCTTCTTTCTTTCTAAGTCAACTTTATTTTTTTTTCTATGAAACCATATAGTTTTAAATGTATTAATCGATTTATCTTGGCACTCCGCATCTATAAGAAAATATTAACCTATATTTTATTCGTATTTTAGTTTCAATGTATAATATAAACATAAGAATATCGATCATGTCTTTCCTCTGTTTTTTATATGATGAATTTTGGAAAATTAAAACTGGAATACTCGTTTTAGATTAATAATTTCTCGACATAAATACTTTTTTCTTTTTTTAATAGGAAATGCACAGATAAATCGATTAATGCTTGCAGAATCATATAATTAAAAAAATGAACTTGAAATTTTTTCCATGACTCTACCTGCGAAATATCATTAATAATATATCAACATTTATAAAAATATTTTTTTTATAATTTCAATTCTTTGTGAGATATTACACCGTATTTACTTAAATTAAACACACTGTATATTTACGGCGAGTGAAACTTTTCATTTAATGTATGGTATATTCTACGTGAAATGTGCAGAAAAATGTTTTCAAATGTTTAAAAAAAAAAATTCCGCGAGAAAATTACTGTATACTCGACAAAAAATTGTCGACATTTTAAACTGCTATAACTTTGCATGGGAAAATTATATTAATAATGTAGCTGTGCTCATTTTAAAGCATAAAGCTTCTATTTTTATAATACCTAGTCCGTTTTCTTTAAAAATATATTTAGTTTTGAAGAGGATATAAATAAAGATGTTTCTTCTTAAATTTTGCAAATTCAAACATCATTGTGAAAATATGAAAAATATTTTCTTAGTGATCTTAAAGATCTTAAAGTCTCTTCTTTAGGATAATCTCTTAAGATTAGATCTGTTGTATAATTTTTCTTCACGAAATTACAAGAATTTGAAGTACCGACAATTTTTCATTAAGTGCACGAATACTTTCTTATTAGACAGCAAAGCAGATTGCAGATTTTTATGCACTTGTAGAAAAAAATTAAAAATTAAATATAGTATAGAAATATGAATCACGTAGAAAATCTATGAGAGATTCGAATAATGTTAATCACGTCATGGACATGTAATTTAATTAAATAAACAAGCTGTTCAATAAAAACGTCGATATATTAATAATTTTTTTTAATATATGTGTATTTTTTATCTACCGATAATTAAGTGTTCAAATAGTTTTATAATATTCGATATAATTATTTGTTATGTTAGTAAACAGTTCGAATAAATAAAATTTACATTTTCATTACGCAGAATATATACTTCAAAATAATAAAGAAAAACTATATTAATTTAATTAATATTGTTAAATAGGCATTTACAGCAATTCTATAACATTTTAAGTTATAAATATGAAAGTACGTATAAAATATTCATAGTACTTCTTGAAATATTTGAAATGTTAAAAGCAATTTTCTACCAAGATTATATTTTTCTAATTGCATTCTCAAAAGTATGAATTTTCATGAAAATCCGGAGCTCAGTGATAAGTAAGTAATAAATATAAATAAGTCTCTTCCTTGAAGACTTACAGCTGTCTCGAGATATTTTAAGTTATAAGTTACTAAATCGCTGTTTTATTTATATAACCGTCCTTACTCGTTCGATTTATGAACGTAATTACAAACGCAAAACGCAAATCTAATCTAATAATCTAATGATCCACTGTGATTAATATTTATTTAATCATAGAAGTGATGAACAGAAGCTTTAAGAAATTAGCAAAATAGTGTTATTCGTATTTTTCAATCACGAAGTGATAGTCAGAAATTCGAAATAGCCTTGAAATCAAAAATTTTTATAAAAAATATTATCCGTATTTTGTACTCATGTGAAGAACAAAGATTCAATCGTAAAAGCGTTGAATAGAAATTTCGCGAAACTACCAAAGTACCATTATCCGTACTAATTGTTTTCAAAATCAACTTCAACCTCAACTACATCATTAATCATTGTGTTAAAAGTTTCATGGTAAATTACCGCCCTATACAAACAATCTTGAAACGTAAATTCAGATTTAAACTTATGGATTTCATAAACAATGGATTCAGTTGGCACACGTAATTACCAACCATTAAATTGGCGAACAGAACGAGCTGAGAACAGGAAGACACGAAGCTTAATTGAGAAATCATTGAATTTCATAAATTCGTGTACTCACTTTGTCGTACATTCGATTCAATAGCCTTGGCACCGCTGGCATCACAGTAGGCCTCAAGGCTTTCATATCCTCGGGCAACCTTTTGATGTCACCGCTGTAAAAGCCCACGGACGCGCCCACCATGTACATGCCATTCTCGCAGCACCGTTCCAACATGTGTGCCAGGGGCAAAAAGCTGATCATCGTGTCCTTGTACGAGGGCTTGTGCTCGCCTAATTGTGTCAGGACCGCGCTTATGCCTGCCATCACGTTCTGATGCGTTAACATCACGCCTTTCGGATTGCCCGTGGTCCCGGATGTATAACATATCGTGCATAGATCCGTCATCTTTGGCGGCACTTCCGGATGGTTTTTCTGGGCGCCTAAACGTTCCACGTCCTCGAACTTGAGCAACTCGACGCCGCGGTTCTTCGCCCTTTGGATCGTCGCTTGCCTCGTCTCTTTTATTACCACCATTTTCCTTAGACATCTGAAGTAGAGGATAACAATTTACTAGAGTAATAAGTAAAATTCTGAACTTCTGAATACGCATCATGCAGGATGTTTCTTTCATCTTGCTTACCTTGATACTTTTGTTATTCTCACCGAGACAAAAAAATATTTCTTTCAGAACAAAATTAGTTTCGAACGACAAATATTGTGACTCATGGCTTTCTCCAACTAAATCACTTTTCTTTTTTTTCGAGTTTTCAAGATCACCGCCGATTTTTTTTTTTTTTCATATTACTTGTAATTGAGAAAACTGCATTTCAAACTAGTACGGAAATATCATAATAATTTGAAGATTTTCTTATTTTACAAAAAAATGTTTAATATGCTTTGCATTGGCTTTGATATATTTTTGAATGCGATACATAAAAGGCGACGTTGCACGAAAAAAGTCACGAACCACGATATTTTTTGTTTGGATAAATTTGTCATATTTTTTGTGTCACATTTTTTTGCATCGGTAAAAATAACGAGATGAGCAAGATAAAAGAAACATCTTACTATTGCTGATTTATATCGCGTTAAATTCAGATTCTGACATCAATTAACGTCGCTTTTTTTGGTTGCCACTAAAATAAGTTCTTAATTGCTATCGTTAGACACTAGGAGCCATAGAAATTTAGGTTCTACGTTGCTTAATTCTCAGTTTGATTTAATTTTATTGCTAATTTCCGGCAGAAAAAATACAAACTACAAAATAAAATTAAATTTTTTTTTAATTGCGAGGGAAAAAAATTGTAGCTGTTTTATAAATCAGTTTGCAACGTTAGGATGAGCTTGTGATAAAAAAAAAACATGCTAGTTTATCGTGCCAGAATGTTTCAGGACATTGCACGGAAATGTTTAAATTTGTCTCCAATACCACACGAGATTTGTAAATTGTGTCGCGCATCAATGTTGTAGAAAATGCGTTTATATTCATTCATGGCATGCTGCCACTGCTACAAACCAAGTATCACGTTCTCTTGTGATCAGAATTGTATTACTGTTTGGTCGAAGGTTTGTTGAAACCTTCTTTTTTAACCTCTGTTCAGCCAATGCTGGTTCATTTCGATGCAACACAATATAGTAAAATAACGTAACATGGTACAATGTAGTTATAAAATATTTTTATTTTTTATCGTAATCATTGTTAGATGATATTTAATATCTGAAAACTAATTTAATGTAGATACGAATAAAAATGGATTAATTGCATTGCTGTTTATCTTCGGCTGTTCACGAATTAATACAAAGAGCACTCGATAAAATTATACTTTCCAAACGATGAATTCACACATCCTTGACAAAGCTTACGGTTGAACGAAATTACACTTTCTAAAGAAGTTCCGATAAAATCGATATGTACCTCGGTGCCTTGTCCAGCAACAAATTACACTTCTTGTCATTTTCACAGACAACCAGGTTGATCTCAGCCTGATTGATGATAAAGGCACAGGCATCAGGGCCCAATGTGTCGTATAGAGGCACCACCGCCAAAGAGTATGTGTAGCATGCTTGCTCCGTGAGAATCCATTCTGGGCAGTTCTGACTGTACAGACCGACGAGCGCGTGCGATCCTGGCATCAGCCCCAGAGACACTAGGCCAGAACCGAAATTCTTCGCCCTGAGCAGGGTTTCGTTGTAATGAAGCCACTGGTATGGTTTATTTGGTCCATCTCGCCAGCCAAGACAAGGGCCATTGTCTGAGTGTCAAGAAGACCAGCCAATGACTAGTACGAAAGATAGCTCGTCCGTATTCGCGAAAATGAAAATTTATTAACGTGCGCATCTAACGAGACGAGCCTACTTAAAAACTGTAATTTTCGGCGAAAATTTTTGTAATTGTAAGTCGTGAGTTGCAAGTTGTGAAAAATTTTATTTTAACATTGAAACTACCAACAACTAAAGTATAAAACTTGTATTAGAGACATGAAAATACAAAGATTAGAAGAAAATTCATGATACTATAATATAGTAGTGTAGCATGTAGTAATATAATATATTTCAATATAATACGTGCTTTCTTCTATTTTATTCATATTCATAAATTTTACCAATTCATCAAGTGTAAATTTCTAAAATTTCTAGAATTATGAATTGATCATTTAATGTGTTAATAAAATATATAAAATATTTCAGTAATTAAATAATGTAAAATGACCAAAACTAGAACGTAGATTATTAACATGAATCTCTGTATTTCCAATTACATATTTTAATTTGCCAAGGTGGGTTGAATATATACATAGTAGAGTATTTATTCTATTTATATTAGGATATTGAAAACCCACTATACATATTAAGTATTAAAAATCCATTATGTTTCAAAGAGTTGAAAGAATAAAAAAAATACCAAAAACGAAATCATGTGATAAGCTGAAACTTACTGGACACCTTGGCGCCTTTACGGAAACCGTCGTACAAGGTCCTCGTGTCCTCGTACAAGAAGCTCACGAACTTTCCCTCCTTGCTGTCCTTATAAAACCTCGACACTTTGATCAGGTCAGTACCCTGCAAAACACACACGTTTGCGCACGTGAGGCTCGACGTATGTTTTTCGTCATTATATAACGGAATGCCAAGTGCAAATCTAAGAATATCGAACACGCCGTACGACGGGGCACGTAGTTGCATAGCACGTAGGCACACGTTCGAAGAACTACCCCCATCTTCGAGATTACGATTCACCTAGAAAAGAGGAGAGAGAGAGAGAGAGAGAGAGAGAAAGTGATCATCTTTCAATGCCTCTTTTCGTTCTCCCGCTTTCCTCTTCATCTTTCTTCCTTCATTTCTAATATTCAATGTCGCCAAGTCGCTTGTGCAACAAGTCTGCCCACCTACACACGCGCGTGTTTCGAGATCGAACAGACTGGCCCGTGGGTTTCGTCAGACCTTCAAATCACGTTTATCTATTTACGATTTCCTACGATCTGACTACAACATCCCGTCAGACAATAATAATTAACGAAACGGTTTAAACGGGGAACACCGATTAAATCGGAGGACCAAGAGAACACTCCACCTTGACTGTGTCGGACTGATCGTTGAGATCGATCGGTGGTCGAAGCGGCGGAGGGGAGAAGCAACTGGACGTCATAATCTCGAGACGATTGGAAAATCGCTGCACAGAGAGATGGCCGTTGCGCGAACGGCCACGGGCCGACGTCCTGCTCCTTTTCAGTTGAAGATCTTGCCCGGGACGCACGCACGATCACTTGAAACGAGACGATGATGGCCCGTACCGGCCACGGGATCCACACACCACCTCTGTCGGTGCAGCTCACCTCTCTCGATCACTACTCTGCTTGTCAGAAACACTACTGCTGCCTCTGCTCCACCGAGAGGAGCGGCTGCTATCAGTGGCTCGCACATAAGACTAGCCGCTCATCCAACATCTCTACGATGATCTTCGACTATATTTAAATATAGTGGACTGCTGGTGGAGCGAGCATCGTCCTCGACAGCCGCCGAACTTGTTGGATGATCGCCAGCCGTGAAAAAAATCGATCAACTCGTCAGACTCGGATGTCGAACGAGCTGGCTGAAAGAGCGTTCGTTAGAAATTCTTTCGTGAACGATGACAGCCGCTTATTGAACCATCAGCGAGGAAGTCGTCGCGTTTGCGATTCGTTTCGAGGAATACTTACTGCTAGAAAGAACGATTGATTGTAGATATGTTCCGGTCTTTCTGGACCTATGCCTTCTGATAAATCGCTTGCGCCGAGTTCTCGGGGATTTAGCAAGGATCAAGATTGATTTATGACTTGTTGTGACTACAATGTGTAAAAGTTGATAGATTCTGTGTTAAAATTGTCATGTTCTGTATGTTTTAATGATATTTACGACTAGGAGTTAGTAGTGTTAATATGACAGGAGGATTTTTATGCGTTTATAGGAAATTTTGGAAATAAAAATTGAAATATGAAATCGAATAATATGGAGAAGTACAAAGCACAATGCTTTCTATAACATTTCATACATAAAACAATTTTTCACCAAGAATCGGTCTTTTTAATTTATATTTTCAAATTTATGTAAATTTGCATAAATATCCACAGTGGGTTGATGTTTTTCTTTGTGTTGTGTTAAAAGTAAATTAGAGAATTATTGCGAAGATGATATTGTGGCGATGACACTATGACGATTTTCTATATTTTAAATATATTACATAATTAAAATATTAATAATAAAATATATTACTTTTCTATGTTTTAAATATATTATTTTGCTTACTTTGGTAATTAATATTAAAACTAAGCAAAACAACCATTTCAGAAATTTTATGGATTTACTAATGATACATTTTTAGAGATTTGAATAATTTTTTGTCAAATATTCAAATAAAAATTTGTGTCCTTTGTTGGATAAAAAATTTTCTCCCATTTTATGTAATGTAATTTCTCTGATATATTTTAGTCCTTGGTAAGGACTAAAATCTAATCTTAAGCCGTCTTTCTAAGACTCATCGTTTTAAATGATACTTTGAAATCTTTCCAAAATCAACGTTGAACACCAGAAGATATGAGCTATCTCATTTGGTAAAAGGAAAATCTTAATATAAATACACTTTGAATTTTCTATTTATCTACAAAATCCCGTCATCAGAACCAATCAAGGAATTTTATACCTACAGGATATCATGTAACTGGTGGTACAATCAAAATTGATGTAATAATCAAAAATAATTATATGTATGTATATGAAGAAACATTTTTTCGTTTCATTTATTTATTTGTTTTCGAAAAAATTGTTTTTGAAAATTTGTCAAGTATACTCGAGTTTAACTGACTGCACATATAAAAAATACTAAAATAATGAATAAAAATTTTCTATTTGAAGCTCCATTTTTAGAAAAATAAACTTTAATAAAATATTTAATTAACAATATCTTTATTATCGAAAGGTTTGATTATCTGGGGCTCCTACTAATAACAAACGTTTGTATTTTATAATTTGTTCCTGTTTCAAATTCTTTCGTTCAATTGTACAGTACCGACAATTATTACTATACATACATACTAACAATAAATCAGGAGCATAACAAAATTGAAAAAATAATAAAAAAATAAAAAGCTTATAGAAAACACATATTCACACATTTTCCTCCGAGGCTCGCTTATCCGTTATATCTTATTGTCAATTCATCTGAATTGTTTGTCTCCTACTAAGCCGATTGATCGATACCGTGTGAATTACAGTCAAACTTCAACAACTCGAAAAGTTTTTTCATTCCCTTCGGCTCCTTTATAAAAACTTCTACAACTTGAAATACAATACACATTGTAATTCAAATTATTTGTCTCGCGTTTAGCATGCATTTCGAATTCAGAAACCCACATAAAAGTTCTCTTTATCTCTCAGTTTCTACAAATTTGTAGAAATAAACTTTCTTATTTCTACAAATTTGTAATCTGTAATTTGTGTGCATAATCGTGGCTATAGAATCATTCAGCTCTGCGATAAACAATTGTTTATGATCTATAATGTGCACTATTGATCTCCAGAGTCATTTAACACTACCACTAAAATAATCTTAGGACCATGATATGTGCCACTGATTCTTAGTTTTTGGTAACTATCAATGCAGTCACACACTTTCACCATCAATAGCAAAGAATCTTTGATGTCGTAGTAATATGACTCGCTGTCACTGTCGAAACGTTGTCAACGTATTGGTCCGTGTGCCATCTATCAACAGTGTTTCGACACGATCGTGATGCGACAATTATATCCTGACATAGACCATCACGTTGACAGTGCTTTGACAGTAACAGCGATTTCGTTCTTTTTTCATCAAAGACCAACATGTTAAATCGACAGTGGCACCGAACGTGTCAATGTCAAAACTTCAGCATCGAAAACTTTTTTTTTCCAAAGAAAACTTTGCACAGATTTATAGATGTGCCGATCACGAAATGTCGTAAGGAGTATTTACGTCTTTTACGATAGCTACTCATTTGTGGCTCTTAACTAAGAAAAACATTGATCTTCCATGTTTTTCGCTATTATAAAAAAATAAGAACATAACGCAATTTATGTCTTGGACATTCAAGTGTAAAGAATTTGTTTTTCTCTGCAAGTTAAAAAAAGTGTTTGTAAGCTAAATTTTTGTTTGTTAAATCACCTTTACTCGAAAACTCGATTAGCTATAATATAACCTGTGTAACTCGATTTCTCCCTTGTAGTTCAACTTTATCGATGTTCAACTGTATTTTCATTTTCATTATACCACCAGTTAATTACATGACATTCCGTATATTTCAAATTTGGACAGACCCGCTATGATTTTCGGCGCACGATCAAACTCTCGAGGTCTGGAAGTCGAGTGGCAGTCTGTCGATGATAAGGACATCCCTCTTTCCCATTGGCAGTTATTTAAAAGCGGTCCTTCAACCTCGCCCACGGATCAAGGATTCGTTGGCAGTTCGATGCCAAGTCTGATCGACTTCGCTTCGAAATCCTCCGATTTTTCACTCCATAAAAATCTTCGAAACTATTGCCAAATTGCTTAACAGTTCGCGATGAAGCCTTCTCAATACATCTTCTTGCTCTTCGTTGGAACTTTCTGCGTTTACGGATTATGGAAAACGAGTTCCCTTTCTTGGCAAACTTCAACCGTACACGCGAAGGCGTCCATCCAGTTCGATCTTACCATCCCAGCCTCTTCACCGTCTGTTCTCCGTCGATTCTCCAACAAAACTAACCGAAAAACCGTCGACAAAAATCACAGGAAGTATCGAGGAGTCGTATCCAAGTATATGTTGGAGCTATACCATCGTAGAACAGATGTCGACATAGTTCGGGCGTTAGAACCGATCCGCGTGTCAGGTCCAACCAAAGACGGAGCCAGGATTCTAGTATTCTCAGTGCCTTCCTCTGACTCAGACGAAGCTCTGGAGATAGCAGAACTGCTTGGTATAGCTGGATCCATTCTCAGAGTGCGTTTGGACTACGTGGATGATTCTGGAAGCTGCAGATCAAGAAAGGATGAGAGTTGGAGGGCGTTCAATGTTACTTCTGCAGTAGTCACGAGGAGTGGTAGTGTTGTCAGGTTTCGAGTGTACGGTAGAGTTGGTTACCATCCTTGTGGAGACGGACCGATCTTGCTAATGAGCTATACCAAGATGAGGAAAAAGCGTCTAAGACGTTCCGTTGAGGAAGAGGAGACGAATGAAAGTGACGGTCCTCGAAGGAGAAGGAAGAATTCCTGCAGACGACGCTCTCTTTACGTGGACTTCGCGTTGATTGCGTACGACGAATGGGTCGTTGCTCCGCCTGGTTACGAAGCTTATCAATGTTCTGGGAAGTGCTTCTATCCGTTCGGCGATCATCTCAGTCCTACGAAACACGCGATCGTGCAAACATTGGTGCATGGTGCTCTCCAAGATGTCGAAGGTGACAGCAAACCAGTTGGGAGAGCTTGCTGCGTGCCGACGAGACTAGCGCCTACTAGTCTGCTGTATCTGGACGCCAGTGGGACTTTGACTTATCAATACGGGTACGAGGACATGGTTGTCGCCGAGTGTGGCTGTCGTTAAAGTGCTTGAAACTAGGGATGGATTCGAAACTAATTTTAAAATTCTCGGGATTTGATCTCGAATCCGGAACTTTGCAAGATTTCGAAACTCGAAACTCTCGAAACTTGAATTCATTTCATAAGAATTTCTTGTTTTAAGAATTGGAGTTGACACTTTTATAGAAATTTTTTATTAGTCACAGTTAAACAAAATGCAAACAAAAACATAAAAATATCTGATCGAAATTTTTGTTTAAGAACGTTAACGTCCGAATTCTTTCCGGATCTAATCTACTTTTTCTTTCGTTGACTATATGTACTCAATAGTTTTTTAGAATATGATAAGTAACAAGATACTTTTTTTTTTAAATAATTTCTATAGATTTGGACATTTTACATTATTATTGCAGAACGATCGATTGCACATCCTTAAAAACAATACTCTAGTTCAGGAAGTATTTAGAATGTTCGAGATATACAATAAAACATTTTTTATTCACGCTGTAAATAATTCTTTATTCAATGATTTTATATGTTTTTCTTATCTGAGTTTCGAGAGTTTCGAATCATTAAAAAAATACGGAAAGTTTCTTGGGTTTTCGAGGGGTTTCAAATAATCTATCCCTATTTAAAACGTAGACACAAATAAAAACAAACATTTTTGTATTAATTGTTCTTCAACAAAAATATGATCAATATAATTAATATGAATAAAATATGATAAATAATACAAAAAATAAATATATAAATATATAAATATAAAACTAAAAATATATAAATATAAAATGTTCCAATAAAATAAATGTATATTTGTTGCTGTAACAAAAAATGTGAAGAAGGATGTAAAAGAAGCGTGACTTTTCATAGCGATGATTACATAGAAATAATTGCAGACATAAACGATTGATACATTCGAATATAAGCCTATTATTTCAATAACAGAAATTTCTGACATAATTAAATACTTCTGAAAGATGAAGTGCTGTGGTTTCCTGACTTTAAAATAAATTTTTGCATTACTGACTGCTATAAATAAAATGTAACAAACCCGTATATTTCACAATCATTAGTTTTCTATACATATAACATACAATATATATTTTCGATATTCTGTAACATATAAGATATATATATACACATATTTTCGACACCTTTAACAACAAAATATGCCGTCAGAGTTTTCTTGTCCCTTGAACAGGCAGTATATTGCCTACTGGTTGTTATATTACAATGCGTTCATAATTTTTTCGAATTTTGAATATAATTGTAACAAGTGAAAATCCGAAACAAATGGTCATAATATTAGACAAACAGAAAAAATAATTCCTCTGACGTATCTGTCAGGGTTTGTAAGTTGACCTCGAGGCGTCATTCTGACTGTACCTATGTATGCATTTCCTATCCATTATATTATCGCGTATTCTTATTCAA